ATACATTTTCAATTTACGCTAATAATAAAAGCTACTTATCTCCTCGCACGCTAAATTAAATTAATTTAATTAAATTGTAAGTTTTTGTGTATACCATATAACTGCAATCTCAGAAAAAAATAGAAGGGTGGCAAATTTAGAATTCACTCCGGATAGCAGAAATCAGCGGTACGCCACTGTGTATTGTAACAAAAATTATAGTTGAATTTATTACTTCTACTGCTTAGAAGTATCTGCAACCAATCATACAGCAGTGAATTAAAGAAATGTACGCCTAACTCTCACATTAAAGAATAACGGGGCTAGTTTTTCCCCTTAAAATGTTAAAGATTAATTATCAGTTTATTTGTTTACAGGAAAGTTATTTATAAAACAACATGGGCTAAAAAGATTTTAATTTTCAATATTTTAATAATCATAAGTACATAGAGAAAGAAAACTAAAAATCATTTTTACTAGTAAAATTCTTTTTTTAACAAAGTATAATAAATTAAAATAAATTACTACCATTATAAGCACTCCTAACTAAGCAATCGTTATGTACAGCATAAATTACCACGCCATAGTTCCCTTATTTTCTTATCAACAGTCATATTTTTTCACTCAATAAAGAATACAATGAATATTCTTTTTAATATAATAGACAAAAGATTTCAGTCAAAAATAGTAGTCAAATTCTCAATAATATTACAGTAATTCACAGCCAATCAATCAATCAAAATCCCAAGAAAATGTAGGAATTTAAAGTACAAAATGCTAAAATTGCGACAAACAATACTTACGTTAGAGGTATAGGGTAATTAATGTTAAATTTAAAGACGACTAAACTCATTTTAGGTCTAAAACAATAGAACAACCCAAGTACAGCTCCTTTTAATAGTTCAAGATTAAAATGCAGGTTTTCACTTGTATTTTCAAAATTTCTTGAAAGGATTTTAACCAATATGTATGTATGGATCTGTATAAGTTTGTAAGGAAAGGTATTTGTAAATAAACTCATACATTTTCAATTTACGCTAATAATAAAAGCTACTTATCTCCTCGCACGCTAAATTAAATTAATTTAATTAAATTGTAAGTTTTTGTGTATACCATATAACTGCAATCTCAGAAAAAAATAGAAGGGTGGCAAATTTAGAATTCACTCCGGATAGCAGAAATCAGCGGTACGCCACTGTGTATTGTAACAAAAATTATAGTTGAATTTATTACTTCTACTGCTTAGAAGTATCTGCAACCAATCATACAGCAGTGAATTAAAGAAATGTACGCCTAACTCTCACATTAAAGAATAACGGGGCTAGTTTTTCCCCTTAAAATGTTAAAGATTAATTATCAGCGTTCCAGTAAATAAAAACCATGCTACATGACACATTCTTAANTAATGATAACCATTTGTTTTCTTTTGAACCGTCTGCAACTTTACGTCATGAACTTTGGTCATGCAAATACGTTCCATTAAATAAAAACCATGCTACATGACACATTCTTAATATATAATTTTATTTCTAAATTAAGACAATTCCTAATAGGAGAGTGGAACATTTCAGAAGGTATAATTTTACATACAGTATGATACATATTCACAAAGCTAATTTATTTTCAATCGAACTTATGAACTTCCATAAAAATCATAAAAGAGGCCATTTTTAATTTAAAATTGTTATTTATTTTAACGGATGCAGTATGACCACCCTAGTTTTGATTCACCCTGTTCACTCACTGGTATGGTATGAATATGGTGCATTATTTACGTTGAATATTAATATTTATGAAAAATGTTGAATTTTATTAATATTTTTAACGCTTTGTAAACATGGAACCAATTGAGTCATTTTTGTTAAATTAGCGATTTTAAAGAAAATCTAAAGTTTTCAATTCAATCTGCGTTTTCTTTCACAGTTTTAAATACAAAATTGTATTCAAAACAAAATTTTTTCAAACAGAATAACCAAAAAATTCACCATCTTATTTCCTGCATATAAAATACATTGAATGTACTCAATAATTATAACATTTGCAATTACCACTATATTTTATTATCCACTTTGCATGGTTTTTACCATTTTATTAAGGTGCATTTATGTTTCTATAAGATCAAGATCAATAGTAATATAGGATAGAACCAAATGGGGCAGACTTTTCTGCTAAAGTAGGAAAAGATATAACGGAAGTAATATTAAAAGAAGAAATAAGAGAAAACATTATTCAAGAGTGAGAAAAGAAGAAACTAAAGCAAATAAATAATAAGAAAGTCAAGAAATGCATAAATAAGTTATCTACAATGGAGGAAAGAAGAAGTTCCAGAATATCTTAAAAAAAAAAGAAAAAATAAATAATATAAAAATGGCAGCTAGATTTAGAACTGGAAGGAAAGAAAGCAGACATTAATGACTAGAAAGCAGCAAAAAGATGTGCAGACTTTGTGAAGAACACGAAACAACAGCAGAACACGTAATGTCATTATCAAGGACAAATAAAAAAATGGAAAAATTAATTACAGGATTAGGAAAGGGAGTAGGGTGAATGAAGGAAATAGTAGATCTACGAAAACGATTTAATAACAGCTTGTGATTACATTATAACATAAACTTATTATGCACACCATGTACCTGCCCATGCTTCTGTATAATTAAAGCTTACGAAGTATTGTAAATAAAATATTAACAACTTTTTGTATTTCCAATATTAATATTCCAATTGTAAGTAATTAATGTGCAACAACAATTTACTGCTGAATAATGAAAAATATTTTTCGAACAATGCCTTTTCCAATTTAAAAATTATAGGCAATTCAGAGGGGATTTCGAATGTTCTCTTAAAATTCATAACTATAATACTATTAAAATTAATTTATTTTACGTATACATATGGGTCGTAGTGTATAGGTACCAAGAAAATTATTTCTCGAGTCCTTATCAGACTACAAAAAATCCTTTCGAGCAAAGCCACACAGATAACTCTCCAACAAAAAACGTTGTTGTAACATCGAAATAAGGTAAACATGTAGGATGTATCATAATGGACAGATTATAAGTTAGAATATTTAAAAATAAGTTGTTAAAATTGAAATCTTTGTTAAACATGAACATATATCTGCGCTAAAAGAATTGTGAATCACAATTCTTAATCATTATGTAGTTTTTTGTAATTTGTAATACTTTTACGACAAAACCAATTAATTATAAAATTTTAGAAATAAGTGAAATTATATTGTTTTTTCCAGGGTGGCGATCAAATAATTGTTCAGACTGAATTTTTTTTGTTTTTTTTTTTTCACTTATAATTCTACTGAGTTATGTACTATATATTTGTTAGTAAAATATAATTGATAATCAAAGAACATACCTTTTAAAGTGTTACTGCTTGTATGCAGATATTTTAGATAATTTTAACTTGTGTGTACAAGCCCTAACACATTAAAAGGTATGTTCTTCGACTATCAATTATATTTTACTAACAAATATATAGAACCTAACTTAGTAAAACTGTAAGTTAATAAAAATCATTTTTTTTTTCAGTTAGAAGATGGTTGAATAAATCGAAAGATAACAAAACATTTTGCTATTTGGCGGTCACAATAGCATTGGTACATAATTTGGAAAAGTATGACTACTAACACAATACGATTTGACGCAAAATTCACAACGTTGATTTTTTATTTAAAGGAAAAGAGCCAAAATGGTAAATTTGGAGGATTCTTGAAAAATACTTATTTATTTACAGTTTTATACTAAGAAATTGGCCTTGCGGATGTCACGTATGGCAAAACTTGCTTGAAACTGTTCGATTTCAAATATAACTAATATAATATTCACAGCATCTAATT